CGCCGCAACCATGCTGTTGCCGGCCGATATGCTGGCGGCCCAGTCCAAGATGGTCTATCAGATCAACAAGTATTTCGGGGAACGCGTGATGACCAGAAAGAGTCAAGTGATGAAGACGATCCAGGAGGTGTGTCGAGTGGTGCAGGACGTACTGAAGGAAGTAGAGGTCCAGGAACCGCGGTTCATCTCGTCGTTGACCGACTACAACGGCCGCTTCGACGGTCTGGACGTGATTTCGCCGACGGAGTTCGAGATCGTGATCTACCTTAACCAGATGGGAGTTCTAAATTTCGTGGACGACGGCACGCTACCGGGTTGCGCGGTGCTGAAGCTCAGCGACGGTCGAAAGAGGTCCATGTCCCTCTGGGTGGAATTCATCACCGCGTCTGGCTATCTGTCGGCCAGAAAGATCCGCTCGAGATTCCAGACCCTGGTGGCGCAGGCTTGCGACAAATGCGCCTACAGAGATTCCGTGAAAATGATAGCGGACACCACCGAAGTGAAGCTGCGTATCAGAGAGCGATACGTGGTGCAGATCACCCCGGCCTTCAAGTGTGCCGGACTCTGGCCAAGATCGGCCTCCCACTGGCCCATAGCGCACATACCCTGGCCACATCCTAACATCGTGGCGGAAGTGAAAACCGAAGGATTCGATATGCTGTCGAAGGAGTGTATAGGTCTGCAAGGGAAGCAGTCGGCGATGGAGGGCGACGCTTGGGCGTTGTCCTTCATAGACGCGGAGAACCGTCTGCTGCAAGGTGGCAGTCGTAAGCGTTGTCTGAGTATCTTGAAGACTCTCAGAGACAGACATCTGGATCTACCTGGCAACCCCGTCACCAGTTACCACATGAAGACCCTGTTACTGTACGAGTGCGAGAAACATCCCCACGAGGCTGAGTGGGACGAGACGTGCATCGGAGACCGCATCAACGGAATACTGTTGCAATTGATCTCTTGCCTGCAGTGTCGCAGGTGTCCACATTATTTCCTACCTAATCTCGACCTGTTCAAGGGAAAATCGCCCAGTGGGCTGGAGAACGCGGCCAAACAGGTGTGGAGACTCACCAGGGAGCTTCTCACGAACAGCCGCGCCCTGGAGAAACTGTAGTTAACGTTTCGATTTACTTGGAGATTGTATATTGAGAAGCTGTCTTAATCGGTGTACCGACCATTCGCGAACTGTAGAGAAATTCCGAATACCATTTGCTGGACTGGCTGAGAATTTTCGAGAAGCAAACTGGAAGTACTCGTCGTTCAGAAGACTAGTGTGTGTTTGCGAAAGCGAGAACGATCGTGCGTGTGTGATTTTGTGGTCCCGAGGACGATCTTGAACCAGTGCCATAAATACGATGACGAATTTTCTGTTTGACTCGAAACACGAATGTTCCCTGTCAGGAGGGAGTCGCCGACGGCCAGTTACGTCGGATCTAACACTGCGATCTAACTCTTAACCGGTGATATTCGTGTTCGCTCGCGAATTGCAACACGATACGATAATCGTGGAAGAAATGTGACGAACACCGTTCAACGGAATATTCGTGAAATCGTTGAGAAAAGGGAACGTACGAGTCACCGGTTACGGGTCACTTCGGTCCTCTGTTTTAATCGATCTATCCTGTCTACCGACGCTATGTAAATACTACTTGAAAGATATTTATTGAAAGTGTACACGAAAATTGTGAAATACAATGCTATTTATATGGAACCATAGTCACGGTGGCTGTCGTCATTTCTCGCCTCGAACACAATACACCCACTCCTCACCTACGAACTTAATCGAAAATTTTATTCTCTCGTAAATATCGGTTGGACTTTTCAACCTCGGAGATCGTTAAACTATTCGAAGCTAGATTTCTGAAAATCTGAAAAATTTTGGTAGCTGTGGAAGTGTTGAAAACCTTGATGATAAGAAATAATTTGTGAAAGATTACAAATCGATGTCAAAGTGTAAAGATCCTCAAATATCGTTTGAAAGTTTAGAAAGTTTTGATAATTTCAAAGGTCATGTGAGTGTCGAAAACTTGATCTTTCAATAAGGAAAAAATTGTGTAAGATAAAATTACCAAGTTTGATGTCTGTTTTCGGATAAAGATCTATCGACATTTGCGTAATTTATTGTTCCTAACAAATTCCATGAAAAATTCAATAGGATCAAACTGTGATCTCTCCAAGGCTATCAAATTACGTTACTCTTCGAATTTTCAAGAAATTTCCATGAAAGTGTCCATAGAATTCGAAATTACTCGGTGATTAAGTAGCTCAGGAATTGTCAAAAGAAACCATTGAAGTCGGTAGGTTAGGCCTCGTAAATTTTCATGGTTTTTTGTTTCGCGCCACTGGAGATCGAACAGAACATTCAAATCTCGCGAATAACATTCCGACGACCGATTCAATGTTGTTGCGACGAGACGGAATATTTAACTGTTTGTCCGCGAACCTTTTTCTCTCTTCAAATTGCGACGGTGAAATAAAAATTTATGTTCTCCCCGGAAATTTAGTAGACAAGGTTGCAATTCGTGCAACTATTTTTTTCATGAACTGAATTTTAGTTAAAAACACTCTTCAGAGACTAACCGAGAGAATAGTAAATTCGATGAATATTAATTTCACGATTATTTCTAGCGAATCGTTCGAGTGTCATAACCCCACTTATTCGAAATTCCAAAAAATCAAACAGAAATATTTATTCGATTACAATTTTGGCTCAACGATGTTTGCAGAGATCTCTTTGCCTTTCGCAATAAAACAGCCTGATATGTGTCGTCCGTTGTGTTTTGTCTAACAGAATTCTTTCATCGCCTTTTCTATCCTCCTTAAAACTCGTTCGGATAAAAATACGCAAACGATCTCCACGGAAAAATTCAGACACAAGTCTCCATAATAATAACTCTACTTGATTCTAATGGGTTATCAAAATGATTTCTATCCGAGTACATTAATTTAAATGTCTCTATTATTATACATTAATGCCTCAAATTTACCAGTTCATATTTACTGCAAATGTATGAAGGATAACTTTTCGAAACAAGAAGTACCTGGTCATTTAGCTACCCGTTTCACTGGTCGATAAGAAAATTGCATCTTATCGGGACAGGTTCGCGTTATTTATTTGTCATTAGGCGACGTTTACGTGTCACTAACTTGAGTCATTTTCAAACCAGCTGGCGTATCTATTGTGCAGGCTAAGGCACGATAAGTTTCATAAAATAGCCCCATGCGTGAAGTATATGATTTTCGTGACAAGAAACAACCAATGCGTGGCGTGCTACGAATAAAGATGTTGTACCGTGTCTCTGGCTACGAATTAAGTAATCTGGATTGTGGTTTTCTCCATTACTGTCAAAATAGCTGCTCGTTATACTTCAATATTTAAACCGCTAGACTAGTTTGTAAATCAAGCTTTAAACGTGGGAAAATTTGTGATATCGTGTTGAAATTATAGCGTGTTACGATAATAAAACATTGATATTACTTAAGGGGTAAATTGGTGAGATGGAGGAGATGCAATATGGTGGTACGTTTGATGATACAATGAGAATGCGTGGTACAGCGCTTTGTACAGCTCATGGTAATGCTGTGTTGACTGTATAATGCGTCGTGATACAATCCGTCGTCAGTGCAACGCGGTGACAGAACACCTAGGGATACTATACGTTGAACGTGCAACGCGTCGATTGTACAACGCGTGGCGATACAGCGCGTTGACTGTATAATCCGTGGTGACACAACGCGTCGACTGTACAACGCGTCGACTGTACAATGCGTCGACTTTACAACGCGTCGACTTTACAATACGTGGTGATACAACGCGTTAATAGTACAATGCGCCGACTTTACGATACGTGGTGACACAACGCGTCGACTGTACAATACGTAGTGAGACAACGCGTCGACTGTACAACGCGTCGACTGTACAACGCATTGACTGTACAACGCATCGACTGTACAACGCATCGACTGTACAACGCGTCGACTTTACAATACGTGGTGATACAACGCGTCGACAGTACAACGCGTCGACTGTAAAATATGTGGTGACACAACGCGTTAATAGTACAATGCGTCGACTCTACAATACGTGGCAATACAACGCGTTGATAATACAATGCGTCGACTGTACAATACGTGGTGACACAACGCGTCGACAGTACAACGCGTCGACTGTACAATACGTGGCGATACAACGCGTTGATAATACAATGCGTCGACTTTGCAATACGTGGTGACACAACGCGTTGATAGTACAATGCGTCGACTTTACAATACGTGGTGACACACCACGTTGATAGTACAATGCGTCGACTTTACAGCGCGTCGATTGTACAACGTGTGGCGACACAACGCGTCAACTATACAACGCACGGTAATATAACGCATTGACTGTCCTACGCATGAAAGTACAAAGCAGACTACTCAACGCACAGCAATACAATGCGTCGACTACACAACATGTGGTGATATAACTTCGACTATAAAACACGGTGTTAGAACACATTGAACATACAACACGCCAAATACACAACTCATCAACTATGAAATCCTACAGCTTTTACACCGATCTTGTGATAACTAATGTAACTTGTCAAAACATCAAACTTGTTCAAACGTTCTAAATAACGATCTAGCTCATATCTAGCTTGTATCATGGTAATTATTAGACGTAATTACCATGCAACACATAGTGTAAAGACCCCCGGTGACGGCAATGTAACAGCAGCGTACCGTAAATCGATTCCCACCGCGAAAAAGTAAAAATGTAACGTCTTACAAGAAAAGCAAAAGACCAAGAACGTGAGAAGCTATCCGTTGCGTGTAATCGATTTCGAGCGCACAGCGCTGATGGGAACATCCGTGTAATTGACGCGAACGAGCGTAAAACTGGCAGCAATTCAAACAACAATTACTAATATCCGTGTTTACCGTGCGTGCATCAGTGAAACTTCAAAATAGTTTGGAGAAACGGTGCGTGCGCGTAATGTATGCGAATAACCGACGAAATCCGCGGATACGTGTCAATAAATGTCCGTACGAGTGATGTTGGTCAAGAAATATCGATATGTTAATTGATATTGCTGACTAATATGCAATCGAATCTAATAAATCATTTCTCGTGACTACTGTACTATTTAGATGATTTCTGGTACGACACATGTTGCGAGACCCGCGGGAAAACGTGTTGATTGAACCTGACGTACAACTTTGGATCGGTCATTCTATATTTTGTTAATCATTCATTGATATATAGTTCCTGTTTAGAATTCTACATCGATTTTGCGCGTGATTAATTATTATCTGTTGACGGCCTATTAGATTTGATCGGTAGACGCGTTTTTATGTGTTAAGTGCCACAGGTGACTCTCGTTATATTGCCATATAGTGGGAGGGTTAGATGCACTTTATGTTTGACGCGCTGTATGTTTATTTGATGCGTTGCATCGCGAAACGTTGTATGTTCAACGCATTGCATATGTGACACTATTCGATATATTGCATACGTGACACTACTCGTTCTATATTCTACACGTTGTTTGTTTAATGCATTGTTTCGTCAAGCACAGCATATTCAACGCGTTGCATATTCGACGGGTTGCATATTTGACGCGTTGAATGTCGGACGCTGCATATGCGACGCGCCGTTTCGATGTGTTGCATATTTGACGCCTTACATGTCCGACACACTGCATATCTAGCGCTGCATATTCGACGCATTGCATACTCGACACATTGCATACCCGACGCACTGCATATTCGACGCGTCGTGCATTTGAAGCGACGCATGTGTGACACGTTACATATTCGACGCGTTGCATATGTGGCATAGTGCATATTGGACTTTTTGTTTGCCCGTCGCATTTTCGACGCGTCGTTCATTGGATACGTTGCATATTTGACGAGTTATCCTACACGTTACACATGTGACGTTGCATATGTGAGGTTACATATGTGACGTTGCATATGTGACGAATTGCATTTTTTTTTTTGATCCATGCGTTGCTCGTCGCGTTGTCAATCGTTGTATCAACACAATGTGTAATTACATTGTGTACACACCACAAATTTGACACATCATTAAACACATACTTAACGCGTTGTATATAAAACATTGCGTTTTACATATTCAACTCATAACGCCAAGTGTTACAAATACATTATACTTTCAATAGTATATCCAATGCGTGACCAATCGTTTCAAGTGTTATATTGTTGCGACTTATATCGCCGTGCGTTATAAGCCGTTATATTCTCACGCAATTTCATCAAGTTTCTATAAAAAAAGTTCTGTAATTACCTGAGATATGGAATTATTGATTTATGTGACGGTTACGAGGCTTGCTACGAGGATATTACGTAAGTTATCGGTTCATAAAAGAACGTGAATTTTGTTTTTCAATTAACATTGCAAAAATAGCATCGGAGATACATAAATTATATTAGTGAAAATGTTTATCGGAACTGTACGTTTCATGAATTTTAACAATTTCAATTTTCTACAAGAGTTTAGCGGGGAATTTAGTTTGCTTGTTAACGAGTAAAATTATTATCCTGGCTTAAGTTCTTGACTCTTAATAAAATTTGTTCGAACGCGAGAGTGATAAATCGTGAAATTTCACGAAATGCTCGCGTGTTTTTGGTTTAATCTGAAGATCGAGTCCCGTAAACGATATTCTCGAGAAGACGCAATCAACGTGCATTTTTATCGATTACTTAAA